GATCGTAGTGCCATCTGAGAGGCACAACGCACTCCAAACTAAGATCGTAGTGCCATCTTAGCGGCATCACGCCAGGACGCTGACGTCGCTTGCCGACAACATCACGTTTAGAATGGAATCGCTCAAAGTTGGCACAATGATAGAAGTCACTTTGGAGAGCAGAGCAGACCACGGTTCGTCACCGCACAATAGCATGGGCAATACATTTCAAAATGGGCGCCGCGACGAGACGAGAACATAGGTCAATAATATTGACCCATGACGAGAACCGCCGCGGTAGCATTGGGCGCTGCGCGCGCGGCGTCGCGTTCGGAGCGCGCTCATCATCTCTCATTGCAGAGGCAAGCGGCACTCATCTCGAGCGCCTTACGTTTGACGTCTTACGGCTTACACACGACAGCCAGCACCGAGACCGCTGGCGCGAACCTCTTGCTCGGCGGCGCGTCAGATATGCTCTCTACTCGATTTCAATTGAGCAGAGCTTACAGCCCTCAGCAGCCACCTACAGTGGCCGTGCGCCTATGGTCCTCGTCGTGCTTGGCACTTACCTTGTTCTCCAAGGCGTCGGCGCTGCGCTCGCTCGCGTTTGGCACAAGGTAGCACACGTCTTTAGCGCTACTCGGGTCTCACAGATTGACTAGGTTCCGTGTTTGCCCATGACACATGAGCTCGAGATTTTTGCGCTTTTTCCGCGCCTTCTCGAGCTCGCACCACCCGCTTGACGTGCACGGCGCGCGCAAGTATGCCATTGTGAGCCAGTCGACGCGCCTCAAGGATCGGTTCGTGTCGACCTCGCGTCGCCGCATCGAAGGCGCCCAAAGTCGATGAGATTGTGCGCGACCACGTCGACGACCTTTTCACGCGGCGCCGGGTCTCACGGATGCGTACCTCGAGGCCAAGCTTCACGCCGCATCGCACCTTGGGCGCACAGTGTGCTATTGCGACGCTTCTCGAGTTTGGTGGAGACGGCACGAGCGAAGCGCTCCGCTTGAGCAACCTCATGGTATCTTCTACGACAACTGGCGCATTCGTCAGTCATCGATCTCGCTCCTTGGCGACTTGGCGTACTTCGTTATGCCCGAGGTCGGCCCGATCCTGCGCGCGGGCCTCGACTCGATGAGCCCCGCCGGCATGCGCCAGGGCTACTGCTTGGGTCTTGTCGAGGTCATCCAGTTCTCGCCCAGGAAGCAGCTCAAAGATATCGTCGAGAGATTTGTCGTCGAAGACGCTCTTTGCGACGCACTACCCGAGGTCCACCACGCGGCTGGTGATGCGTTTGATGTCATCCACAAGACTATGGGCTACCGCTCGATCGACGAGCTCAATCTCCGCCTCCTCAAGTGTATCACATCGGTGTACGAACTCGTCCAAGAGTGCTCAAGGTCAAATCGCGCGACATGCGTCAGTACCTCGCACCACGCCTGCTCACAACGCCAACGGCCTTGTCCAACATCCAAGCGATCGTCTCCTTCTCGGGTGCGGTGCTGCATTGCGACATGGACCACCTCCGCAAATTAGCACGTTCAACCTCTATCCATCACTAGCGACTTGTAGTGGGCCGTTGAAAATAATCCCAGCATTTTCCAATGTTTGTTACATTTTGGCTATGCGCCACTACGGCGGGCGTGAGGTTTGTCGATCCGA